TGTCACGTACCACCCCTCCCCTCGCGTTTCGCACAGGAGCATATATTTGAGGCTACGAGTAAGTACCGTCGCACTTAGCGGCCGCAGGCTGGCCTCAAGTAAAGCATCTTCTGTGCGGCTACCTTTGTGAATGCCGGCAATTATTTTACAAGCTTTGCATTGCCCGGCATCAAGTGCTGATAACGAGGTGGAGGATGCGTTGAACTACTGTACTTCGATGCCTCGCAGACCCTTGACATGTACGGGCACCGGGTAGAGGGCTCACAGCGCGTCTCGTTTTGCCCCGATTTGCAAGACGAGGCAGCTGCTATCTGCACGAGCCACCGGTTAATTTGGCTTTGGAAAGGCCATACTGTGTCGCAGAAAGACGCTGCCCATCCTCACCCTATATTGTGCTCTGGGTCTGGCGCCGCGCAATTCCCCAGGAGACGGACTATGCGTGCGCACACCTTTCCCCCGGCAAGACGGGGTATACCGGACCCTTGTGCGATGGGACCGGACATTTCCTTTTTTTTTTGAGGTGAAGGAGACGGGGGGAGAAAGCAGCCTCCACGGAGAGTGGAAGGGGGGGGGGGGGGGGGGGGGGGGGGGGGGGCGCGGTNGGGGGGGGGGGGGGAAGAGTGGAGGTGCTCGTTCGCAGGATGCCTCCGCTGCTCACCGCCACCGTCGATCGCCCGCACCGGGTGGGATTCTTTTAGAGGACATTCCCCTCCGCCCCAGCACGCTAAGCATGAGGGAATGAAAGAAAGAGCACCGCAGCGGCAGGGATGTGGTGGACGCTGGCGTGAAAAAAAATGTGGGGTAGGTAAAGGGAAAATACACCACACCGCGGCGGCACACACCATGTCTTGGGAGCGATCGGCGCGCCAGGTGCTTGTGTGTGCTTGTTTGTTACGGATGGGGTGCATTCTCAACGAGCTCCATTTGTTTCGTTTTTTTTTGTTTGCTTCTCACTCTACATGCTTGTTTCCTCGCAGAGGGGGGTGGGGCGGATTGGTTTACATCTGGATCGTTGACTCAAGCCTCCACCTTTTTTTTTTGTTGGAGGACATCCCTCGGCTCATCTTCGCCTCCTGCGAGGGCCAACTGTGAAGGAACAAAACGCACAAAGAACGCCACCAACATTAACAACAACAAAAAGAGGCGTATGTGTACTGAAAGCAGCCAGCAATGCTCATATGCGGCACTGACTGGAAGGGCCAAACAAACAAACAAAAAAAAAGAGCAATTGAAAGATGACACACACAAATTACAAAAAAAAAGGAAACACACGTCACAGCCAAACACAAAAAAAACGGCCCCTGATAGTTTGGATCACTTCTCTTGTGAAGGGAACCGTGCATCATTGAAGTGTGCACTACTTGGGTCCAAAAGCGGGTTCCTCATATCCCTCATTTTCCTCCTTTCCTCCTTATCAGACTGCAGCCGAGATCGAGTGCACATATTGGCCGTTATCAAATCCAGCAACCGGTTAAGGTCGGTCCCCTGTTCCATCTTTAATGTCGCACGCTTTCTCTGCCATCGATCCATCCACTTCTCCCAGAGGACAACGACATAGGAGGCCATAGCGGAGCCCTTGCAGAGGTTGCTCTTCAGTAAACGCCTAGCACGTAAATTTGTTGCGATCCTATGCATCAGGAGATGATTTGCTCTCTTATTCCTTCTTTCTTCTTCTGCTCGCAACTGGCGAATGGCTGCGAGCATCCACGGCGCCATCCGCTGCCCGTTTTGCAAGCTTTTGGCTGCTCTTGCGTACGGCAAAATCTTGTCTTCAAAGACTCTGTTAAAGCCCGGCCCTCGTAGACGGACAGCAGCCGAGCGGACAGTGTTTTGCAGATTCATTCTGGTTTCTTCGAGGGCTGCTCTGAAATCGTATCTGTAGACAATCGGGGCCATGTCTTCAACGCTTCCTAGATCCCTGTGTTGATTGAGCGCCCTTAGGTACTCCAATATATTTCCCTCAAAACGCTTGGGCAGGGGACCGGGGCCTCTGCGGCTGTTCTGCACATCTACATTCAAACCGCGGTGATTAATGGGGCTTACGAAGTAATTGTTGCCGGCAAGAATTAGACGCCTCTGCGCTTCCACGGGAACCTGTGCCCATATTCCCCTTCTGGCCCCCGCGCCAGTTGTGGGAGACCCATATTCTATGGGACTCTCCTCACCAGTACGGTGGCCGACGTCACCCCAGGCAGGAAACCCACCCGGCGCTGGTTTCTTCCGGTATTCTGGCGATCCTTCACCAACACTTGTTGACATCTCCCTGAATTTATCAACGTCATCAGTGTGCCACCTGCCACAGGCTTTTTGGTCATTTGGCAACTCCAGCTGTGACGCCTCAGAGCCCAACAAGACATGTGCCAGCTTAGTAATAGATCGGGGAGATGACAAGTGGTGGCCAGTGTGGCTAACACCTCCTTTTTTCTCACCCAAAGGCTTTGCTCCACTGACGACGGCTTCTACGGCGACGCGGCGCGGTGAAACCGGTTGCTGCGGTTGCTCTTGTTGCGCTTGCCCGGGTGTCTCGCGATGCAACAAGGGACGCCCAGGACTTTGTAGACGCATCTCATGCTTCTTTTCATGCTTCTCCCCACGCTTGTCGTTATTCTTTAGTATTTCCCCGGCAATTTTATCCCGGGATGTCTTGAGAATAACATCGTACAGTTGATTCTGCGCCCATTGCTCATCGGTAAGGCGCGAAGAAGGACCCGGGTGCGTCTGGAGAACAATGCCGTGATCTTCAAGTCTGTCAAACACCCGTTCTTCCACCATGTTGCGCACCACATCTTCTGCCGTAGCCGACACGAAAGCGTTGCTTTCCTCCTCGACACCACGCTTCAGTTCTTCTGTCTGCCCTTGCAACGTACTAACGCAATGCCCCAAAAGACGAAAGAGGTCATTCATCTCGGAGCGCATAGCGTGGTAATCGTCTCGAACTTTCACTACTTCGAGTTTCATATCGTGAAGAATACCACCAGGTTCTGCAAGCCTATTTATCTTAGCATATGCGTCAGCGACCTCAGCGCCAAACACTTTCTTCCCCGGGCTGTGGGTTTCTCTTGGTGGACTGACGGTGGTGCATACGGGGCTCTCGGCGGGGTGCTCAAGTGCCTCAGGTTTCTTGCTCCTTTGAGGGGACGGCCGTCGATGTGCAGTCGCGTTCGCTTGTTTCGCTTTGCCTCGCTGCGGCTCTGTGTCAGATTTTTTTGTTGCCTTTTCATTTCGTCTTGGCGGGGTAGTTACAAGATCGCTGGTGGGGTGGGCCGTTGAGCTCGCCTTGCCCGCTGGTCGACGGCGGCCGCCAACCTTTGCAGGTCGCGCGGAGGGGCTCCTGCAGGGCGACACCCGCTCTTGCTGCTCCGCAGAATCCTGCAATTTCTTATCCTCTGACGGTTCTGCACTTTCATACTCTTTGAATACAACTGTGCTATCTGGGATGACTTTACTCGTGGGTTGCGCACCCAGCAACGAATTTCCACCAACACGAAACGAGATCCCCTGTTTATGCTCTCTACTGAAGAAAGCACCCTCGCCGCGTCGGAGCGTGGAATCCATGTTCCTTTTATTGTCTGAAAAAACCTCGCCACGTTGGAACACAACATTCTCCAGGTCACCACTGGATGAAGCAAGGACGTCAGATGATAATTCTACGCCAATAGGATCACTGCTCATATGATCTTCACCAAGAAAGGCTATTTGGCTCCTGCGACCCGCAAAAAGCGAAGCATCCGTGTTACTATGGGCCGGACCACCCCCACAGCCTGCAGCGCGCAGTACGCCACTGCCCCGGTCACTGCCTACATCACTTCCAGCAAAAGAATCATTGAAACCGCCATCTGATGAGCCTGCACGAGATCCACTACCTGCCAACGAACTTTGTGCGCTACTTCGACCTCTGCTAAATCCACGACCAACCATACCGGAGAGTTGTCTCTCGGCTAGGGTGGTATATTTTACATTGGCGTCATGGTCAAGCAGAGACATCCCATTGGCTACTTCCGCCTCCAGTCGGCACCGCCACATTTCACGCTCTGCGCTCAGCTGCATGAGCACTGCAGTAATAGGAGCTTGCTTACGAATAAAACGTCTCCTGGCTGCGTCGCTTGCAAAAACTTTCACGCCCTCGCCGTCGGAAGACTCGCGGCCACCGTTGTCTGTGGAGTCGCTCTCGGTACCGCTTTCCTCATCTGATGCTGTCTCGAGGTAACGCGGCGCACCGCTGATTCCGTCTGAGAATTTGTATACATTGAGCACACATTCCGCCAGCCCGTGTAATGACTCATCACTGCCACTCTGCATTCCTTCATATGTAGAGTTTGTCGCAGCAGCCGCGTCCCCCAATTCTCCCGCAATGCTGGACCCATTCGTCGTATGCGAGAGTGGTTTAGTGGCCATGGCATGACCGCGTTCCGTCCGCGGCTTGGTAGATTTATCGGTGGACGATGTTTTCGTACCCCCTTTTGCATGCGTCTTGGCACCACCACCACCACCACCGGTTGAGTAAAGTTTCGCATTCAGAGCGGTACGGAGTCGTACGTTCTCTCGCTCTATTGCTCTGTTAACATTGATGAGAATGCGCATGTCTTTACAGATTGCTTTTTCATCCATCTTCGCAGAGTCCTTGAGGCTGTCACACACCCGCTGCAGCTGATTCGCCTGGAGGCTCTTCACCAGACACTCTGTCTTGACCGTCTTTAACTCCTTCTCTTTCTTCTGCAGGAGATCCATCAACCCTGCCAGTTCCTCTTGCACAGAAGCAAGAGACGTCTCCAGAAAGGTGTTTCGCTGCCTTTGGTCGGTGATATTGTTCGTCAGGATGTCAATGCGATCGTTCAAGGCGACTTCTGCTGCGGGGGCCTTGAACATATTCTGGCTTCGTGAGTAGACAAACTTTTTAAGAAGGTGCTCCACCTTCTCGTAGGTGTCCCAGTCGCCTATGCGAGTGGACGCGGCGGAGGGGCCACTGAACAAAATCTTGTGAATTTCCTCCTTGTTAGCATGGATGAGTTCCACTCCCATCATGCGTTTCCGCTCAGCTATTTCCTTCTGCTGTGCGTTGACCTCGTCGTAGTTGGCGTAGATCTGCTCCAAAAACTGCCACCGCTGCTCCTCCGTGGGGAGGTTGCGCAGCTCCATCTTGCCACCGTGACTGGACCTCATCGTGATGATACAGCACCCTTTCGGTGTGGGGCTCATGTGCGCAGAAGGGGCGTGTGTGTAAGTGGGAGGGCGTGGGGAGCGAGGCAGGGACGCACACACACACACAAGAGGAGAGAACAAAGAAAAGAAGACCAAGAAAAAAAGGCACAGATACCGGCGGAAACACCAGAAACAACAACAGCAAGAATTAATAACAACAGCACGAAGGAAACCCCATCAACGCAGAGAAGANAAAAAAAAATCAAGGCAGAGGCACATCTCAACACACACCACACACATAGTGAGGCTCCGCTTGCCACTTCTCCGCCACCACACTATATCCCCATCACACTGCACGCTAATCCTTGAGTGACCTGGCACCAGTGTCGGGCGACACGTCGGTGAATGAGACATCAACCACGAGGTGGATGTGGTGCGATGGGTGACCGCTGCACGGCAGCAGCTGCTGCTCACTGATCTGCGCCTCCTCCGGCACGTCGAGCACCTGGTGGAGAGCCAACGTCTGAGGGTCATAGAAGACAAAGTCCTGTGTGCGGCAAATGATTCCGCTTGCCCTCATCGACGACTTCCTCATCGCCAACGCATCCTCTCGCACCCCATCCTCTTCTTTTGCCCCCCTCTCATTTCCCGCCTCTCCCTCCTTGGGTGACTGCAGCTCTTCCGCAACAGTTGCACTTCTACACTCCTCCCCGCCCACCTCTGCGGCGGATGGCGACTCTTTTGCCGTCGCGGCACCACCGCTCGTCATCTCACTGCTTCTGTTACCCTTGTTGTCCTTCCTCGTGTATTTGGCCACCTCACGTTCGGCCCGCCTTGTTGGATTGGTGCGCTCATAGCACTCACGGTTGCAGGCGTAGTACTTGGCATACCCTGCTCCAGCCTGCGGGTCCTCATGGAACCACGCCGTCCACCGTGGACCACCAACCACATCGTATGTGGAGAAGAGACGCTCCCGCATCAACTGCACACACCCCTCCTCGTCATCTACGTTATTGAAATCACCGCAGATCACGTTGGACATGTGGGCGCGATCGGCGTCGTTGCGGTTTAAGGCATCGATCACCTTGAGTGTCTGTTGAGCCTCTTGCAGGCGTATCTGCGCCGCCTCGTTCGATTCACCGGCTGTGAATTGCACGCACGCGACGTTCAGCGTCATATTCGTCACCTTGTCCCGCATAGACACAATGTGGGCGAAGTGCAGGTGCTGCACCAAGTCCTTTCCTGGCATCAGAATCGGTACAAAGCGCCCCTTGTGAAACAGCACTACGTTCCCAATGTCTTCGGACTCCTCAATCTTGCCTCTGTGCCGTGGCGCGTGCGGGTCATCGCCCCGGCGCAGAGCCCGCACATTGTAGCCGCGGCTCGACTGATACAGGGCACCGTAACCGCAGTACCGCACGTACTTCCACA